TGATACGTTAGCCATCTTCAATTGGCGACAAGGTTCCTGAATATTTTTCTTTGCTGAAAAAAAAAAGTCAAACAAACACTACAAATTATATCAAAATTTCGGTAGATCCTCCCCTAAAGTTATAACATTTTTCAAACCCTGGACATTGTAATGAATAATATATGATATCCAACAATAATCACAATAGTTGAATAAGCCAAATTTCGATCAAATGCACAATTGCAGTATGTAACAATTTTGATTGAACATAGTGTACGAATAACTAAATTCACAAGGAAATAAAGGGCTTGTTGTGACCCCCCCCCCCCCCCGATGTCGTGTTAGGCGTGCAGGGGCGACGGTGACCACGCCTGGAGATAACAGGTAATGCCACTAAAGAGGTTAATGACGTCAGCGCATAGGAGACCCAAGACCAATTGGATCAACTAGATTAACCGACCTGGGGTCCATTTCAGCTGGAGCAATGGTGGCTAAAGTAGGTGGTGGGGGAATCCAATGGGGTGCAATCGTCACCACCTTACGACTTCTAATAAGATGCGACATTCAATCTAATTCATAAATGATATGGTTTCGGGGGATGCTCAAAATACCGATGCATAGAAGATTTTTTTTCTTTCAAAAATATAATGTCAATTAGCTTGAAGGAAAAACTCTTTGCTGCAATACAAGTGCACTCGGTGTCTTAGTGTTGCCACAAACGAAAACTACTCTATGGTATATATAACTTCAAATAGTGCATATACTCGTTTAGGTAAGCTAAAATAATAAATAAATTCAATCCAATTCCAATACCTGGGTCAAAATTTTTTTAATTTAAATTTATTCAAATAAAAACAATATATTTATAACATAAGATAAAGGGAATTGTTATTAGGACTCTAAAATTCTCATTCTACATTCCAAACTTTCTATATTTAGACAAAAAAATACATTTGTGAGGAGTGTAGAATGAGATTTTTGGAGTCTCAATAATACTTCCCTAAGATAAATAAATTACAAAAAATGTCATTTAATATGTTTTACAAATCAAGTCACAAATAAATTGCATTATTCATCATCCAAACTATAATAACTTTCACTATCGTCACTAACATCATTTTCAGTCTCCCATTCCTCCTCCTCCTCAATAGGTATTTCACCGTCATCGTTCGAGCCCACTACAACATCGTATTGCGGAAGATTACCGAGGTCCATTGTAATTGAATGAATCGGTATTTCGATAGAAACCACTCCTTGTATCTAAAACAGTTCTTGGATAAGATTTGTATCTCGAAGTGTTTCCGCATCATTTTCCATTGAAGATTCTAAATGCTGGTCAGTGACGTTGTTGACGTCGTCGTCAGTAGGTCTTGTTCTGGTATAGCATACACATTCCTTTGATCCATCTTCTAAGCAACTTTTCAGCCTCTCCTAGCGTTATGATCATCTAGATACACAATTAGTTTTTCCATGTGTTGCCCAAATGTAAAGGTCGCCATCGTACCAAGTTCTGATAGTGTTCACAGATAGTAAGCCATGATCAATTTTAACACTTCCCTGCCTATTTGGGTTTGTATCAAACCATTGACACTTAAACATGATCACTTGGCATTGGTCTTTGTAAAGCAATTGCACGACACTTGTTAGTTTGCCATAGAAATCAATGTATGTACTTTCGCCTCCACTTGGGACATGAACCTTGCTATTTTGCGTACACAACTCGTCATCTTGTCCAACCCCCAAAAACTTGACACTGTTAACATGGCAACCTAAGAACAATTCAGCGCGAATCGGTCTGAAACGCCAAGTTATATAATTCTTCACTATGAGTGGAGGAATTCAATGCTTTCAATTGATTCACCTAACATTATACAAAAACATACACCTATTAGTTTGAGAAAATTAAATACTTACATATTCGAGAAACCACTGTGGAAACAATTCACAGTGTTTCTTGGCATACAAATATGATGGATGTTCTCGCTTCATCATCTCTTCATGCTCATTTGGGTATGCCATTGTCCAGTACAAACCAATGTGCTGCCTCCATGTCATTTTTGGAAAACAACGCGCCTCGTACAGGATCTCGAAAAGGTCGTGCGCTTTAGGCAAAAGCAAAAAGTTTCTCCTTTCTCACACCCTCATCATTATTGCGCTGAGGACAATTAAAAATCATTTCCACATCTTTTAAATACATTCCACAAAATGTAAGAGGCTCATATTGAACCCAAGCCTCTATAATTTATCCTTTGGGCTTCGCCCTGTTGTGTACACTTTTTTTTCAGCTCCCCGAGAAGCTTGCCAAAATAAAACTATACAATACAAATTTATAGGCCTCAGTTAATGATGAATAAACAAATGATGAGGATTATATACCTTTCTCTTGGATACATCCAACGATAGTTTACAAGACTAGCAAGCAATGCCTCTTTTGGCAAGTGAATCATCACGTGGATCATACTTGTGAAGAAAGTTGGAGTAAATATCATCTCAAACTTGCATAGGACTTGGACGATGTCATGGCGCAACTAACTAACGTTTGTCTTTCGCAACGTTCTTGACGTTAGTTGGGAAAAACATAAATAAACAACGATTATTTTGTCCGTGTGATTGTCTAAGAGAAAAATATTGTGCTTTGTGATTAATTTTCTAGGTTGATAAGTTCATAAAAAAGTGATGAAATTTAACAATGGTAGTTTAGAGACCTAAACTGAAAACATAAACAAACAACATAACTAAATTGAAAAAAATAATCCAATCCATTGGTTGTTATGAAATGAAAATTATCTTGTTTGATTTCGGAGAATATGTCAATCAAATAAGTTCATAAATAAAAATTTAAATTAACACATCCAAAAATCAACTTAAGAAAAGTTAAGACAAAAATAAATTTACCGCATAATCAAATTACTACAAAAATAAATATATAGCCTTATATAGAGCTTGAAAGGTATATTGCCCCTCATTGGAGAGATTCTTTTTTATAGCGAAAGATACTTCAGAACTCTAAATTGGGCTATATCCACCACTTTTTCAGCATTGTATAAAGCCCCTCTTTGGGGATGCTCTTAAGATAAACATATCATTTCATTCTCTTTCATCATGATCTCTTGATAAATTTAAGGGCATGTTTATTTACAAAGAATAAGAACTATTATTTTGATTCGTGAGTTTTCTACCTTTACTAAAATGTGAGCAAGGGAATCATTTCACTCCTTAACTTTTTCCTGTGTTTATTTACATGCAAGAAATTAGAAAAGTGCAAAAAAAAATTTCTTCAAACCTGTAATCAAATACCTAAAAATGAGAAATCATATCGACTAAAGGGACTGGTTGATCTTATTCCCTTTCGTTACTTCTCCTATGTAGAGCTAAACATCTTTAAACTATGCCTACTTTGGCGCTAATAGGAAAAAGAGGATGGGAAACTGAGTCCTTTTCTCTAAAATCAATACAGGTTACTAGGACGTGGTGTTTACATCACTTGACTTTTTTCTGTTCATTTTGGTCAAGAAGTTTTCTCCTCGTAGAACTCATAAAAAAAGCCTAAATTATGTGGGGCATTAAGTTGCATTGTGTGTGCTTGCTTTTGATTAAGGAACGAAATTATGGCAACTTGGAAGATGCGAGGCTTCTCTTAATCTATGAGTTTGGTTCCAATTCATCGAAGGTGATGATACGAAGAATGGCCCCTAACGTAAGGTTACAATGGTCTTTTTAAGTTTCTTCGGTAGCATGTCATCTCCACCAGATCTATGGCGGTGACATCTAGTGACCTTTGTAGTAAAAGCCTTCGTTTGTAGCCACTCTTGGGCCTTTATGTATTGGCCTCCTCATTATTTTGGGTTTAGACACATTTTATGTAATTTTTTGTTTTGGGTACAAACAATAAACCTTTATTCGTAATATCCATATGCACACGTGACATCCCATTTGCACACTTTCCATATTTTGGGCAGTTTTCTACCTGCATCTGTGTAATCTTTACAAATTGTCTGTTTGGACTTTGTTAAGTTTTTTTTTGGTTGAAAAAGGGGCTAAAAGCAAGAGCCCAAATAAACCTACTCAATAATAAATCTAGACGGGGACATCTCAAGTCGATCACCACGAATAAAACTAACTGAACAAGAAGGAGTAGTATCAAAATAAAAATAATTACCTAATGTAAATCAAGACTATAAGTTGCTAAATTGTCCGCCACAAAATTCTTATCTCTGTGAACTTTGTTAAGTTACATCTGAAGACAGATGTCTTATGACACTCGTAGAAAAACATGTTTGCGCGACGGCATCTTGCGCGACGAAGAAAATTTGTAGCGCAAAGTCCGTTTGCGCGACGTATAACACAAAACGTCGCGCAAACATACTTTGCGCGACGGCACTTTGCGCGACGAATAAAGCGTCGCGCAAAGCAGTTTTGCGCGACATAGGTGAACATACGTCGCGCAAAACTGCTTTGCGCGACGCTGTCATTCGTCGCCAAACTTTTGGCGCCAAACCAAGAAGGTTTACCGCGTTTTTCGTTGACTTTGCGCGACGTAGGTCCTCATTCGTCGCGCAAAGATGTTTTGCGCGACGTATGCTCACCTTCGTCGCGCAAAGCTGCTTTGCGCGACGCATGAGGACCTACGTCGCGCAAAGTCAACGACTTTTTTTATTTCTTTTCATTAGTTCTGGAAGCAGAAACTGCAAATCCAATTTGCAGCAGCAACCTCCATCTTCTATCTCTCTCTTCAAAATCGTCTACCAGGTATGAATTGATATTAATTCTTTGTCTTTTTTCGATTGCAATCCTTCCCTTGCTCTTAAACATGATGTAAACTCAATTAATAATATGTAGATCCTTCATGTGATTCATTTACGAAATTGAAATTGTAAAATCAAGGGAGATAACTATCTTGTTGATTTTCTTTTTCTCTATACACCAGGTAGTTCCAACAATACTTTAACTAGTAAATGTGCTTTGAAAAATATTGTGTTACTAACCTTGTTTCCACTAGTGCTCTTAGCATATGAGTATTTCTAGGATCCTTTCCATGCTGTTAATAGAATGATTTTGACTTTTTTGGTAACATAAACATCATCATTGACCTTAACATAAAACTCAGCATCCCAGTTCTCTACTGCATGAATATAGAATGATTTTGACTTTTTTGGCCGCTCCTCAGATGCCTCCACTTGATCATCCTGTAAAGTAAAAGAACAATTTAAACAATGTGTCATAAACGTATCTGCCTGTAGCAATTTCAGCTATCCCACATATGATGACATGAATCAACCATGAGGGATGTCCACAAATTTTTGTTAAGGTCCATGAGCATGATAAAAGAAATAAAAACACGAAATGCACAGGGAGCTTTCCTCAAACTAAATTCAACGTTACATTGGCTACTGCATACCTACAAACTAGCCATCACTTAGTCTCTATTCTACATACCAACTAGCTCAAAGCCTCGAACAGCACCTTGAATTTTTCACAGGACTTCTTAAGGAATCCAAATAGAATCACATGTGCGTACTAGTAATGAAAAAAAGTTCTTGACAATACGAAATTTCACCCAACTAAAAGATCCCACCAAATATATGTAAAACAGATTTGTTGAAATGGTTAACATACAAGAATAAGGAAGTTGTTGGTCCGCTCATTTTCTTCGTCTATTTGCTTGTCCAAACTGTCTCCACGATTTGGGCTGCAAGATACACATACTTAACTGAACAGAATTGTAGACAATTCCTTGTCATCATTCTAAGTCATTGATATACACACCTTCTTCCAATCACAAATCGCACAATGATGCCCTTTTCATCTGCCAATCTTTTTAGAGCTTCACCTGCACATATATACATAAAATTGCTATAACTGCTAGAAGAAGTTTGGTCCACCATCGCAAACCAAAACATTTATGACTAGAAAATAGATAGGAGTGCATAAGACTGTACCACTAACATGGATCATTTATTTGCATAAAATTGCATTGAGGATAAAAGAAAAGAACGACGAAATTTGCACAAAGTACCTCTAGGCATCCACGCCTTACGAATTGCCTCCCTATTTTTCAGCTTTCTCGAAATACCATGATTAAGTGACAATTAATAAAAAAAAGGAAATATTTCTATAAACATAGGAAACTAGCTCTCCATGGAAATCACAGACAAATTAAGCCCTCCAAATCCCCTTATCCATGCATGTTCAACCCTTTTTCAATTATTATTAAGAGGAGGGGAGGGTACGAAACTATTACAATAATTTAGGGGAGGGGGGAGTTTGTATTAATAGTTGGTGAAGGAAGAAGAAAGAGATGAGCGGGTCAAGAGAGAGAATGGGAATTTCAATTGTATTGCTTATTACATGATAAGGGTCAATGAGTCATACAATATGTTGTACAGCAACCCGACTTTACAACGAACTTGATCAATACAATCATAACAACTGGCATATGATTATTAGTTTCTATCCCGAGACGTATGGTAGTTCAAACACCTTGGGTGCACCAATAACATATGGCCTTGATTCTATCACATTTCCATGGGAGTCTAATATTTTTTTGATAATGTCATGTTTCTGCAGTACATAAGAACAATTAAATTTTACACAAGTGTCTTGCACATGTCATTTTCAGGGCAGTGTGGAGAGAAGGCCATTTAGTGGCTAATTGTTACAAGCAGTTTTTTCGAATGCTACTTTGAAGTGGCAGCAAAGATTCGAACTCTGGAGGTAAATCATTTACTGGATGATTATTGGTACTGTAATTCTTCTGCAATTCTGGTGTCATAAAAGAGGTCAAACACACATTCATCATTTTCCCATTCCTGAGCATAATTATTATTTGGTGCTATGGTCTAAAGTAGTCTCAAATATAGAGCAATAGGTTATTCGAAATACTATGCAACCATAATTCTACTTCCTCATGATTGAGAGTTGAGATACATATAAACACTAACTCATCTTTTAAACTTCCATTTCCAATTTGTTAATTTATGTATACGTTCATATATGTGTCCAGTTATACATTGTTTTGTGTTGTACGAAGTTAATACTACTTAACTTCGTACACTTTTTTCAAGAAAAGCTTAGTTTCCCATTTGAGAATTAGTTGGATTTCGTGCATGGATGCGAAAGCATGACTACGGTCCAATTAATTCTTGAATTGTCCCATTTTTTGGACAGTTTGGGAATGCAAAGTTATGTGTTGTAGTTTGCGGTTCATGGATTAAGTTTCGATAGTGGAAATTTTGGTAACATTTCTTGATGTTCTTCGAGTACACGGTGGATATTATGTATCTAAAGTGTGCACTTGAAGAACTGTAAGGAGATGCTGCCGAAATTAGCCCACGTCAAAATTTAATCCATTGGAATCGTAAATTACGACACATAACTGTGCATTCCTGAATGGGATAGGGCCCTTACCGGAGGAATAAGGTGACAAAATAATAGTTAAAGTTGTTGTAACTCTTGTACTTTTATTGGGATTGCAGACAAAATGGACAGACAGTGGATACATATTCATAATAGATGTGCTATTCAGTACTTGGATGGAATAGATGAGTTCATTAAATTCGCCACTAGACACAACCTAGCTTCAACTCATATCCGATGTCCATGTAGGAGGTGTAACAACTCAATGTGGGAGACATTCGAAACTGTTCGATTTCATTTAATAAGAAATGGGATGATGGAGACCTATACTACTTGGTATCATCATGGAGAACGATTAGCCCAAGCTTCGTCTTCATACGTCACACGAGTGGAGACTGCTGAATCTAATGTGGATCCTAGTGAACAAGTTATGAATATTCTAAATGACGTTTATCCATACGCCTCGAGCAACACCAATCAGGAAGGGGGAGATGACGATCGTCCAACCATGGACAATGAGGCATTCAAAAACTATGAAAAACTATTGAAAAATGCGAAGCAAGAATTATATCCAGGTTGCGATAACTTTTCAGTGCTCACAGCAATTGTGGAGTTGATGCATGGTAAGATCAAGTTTCGTTTGTCAAACAAGTGCTTTGATTACTTTTTGGGAGTTATCAAGAGGATGCTCCCAAAGGAGAATTGTTTACCTGAAGATCATAAAAGTGCCCAAAAAGTGTTGAAGGGTCTCGGATTGGGGTATGAAAAAATTCACGCATGTGTAAATAATTGTATATTGTTCTATAAAGAGAACAAACAGTTGGATAAATGCCCTGTCTGCAATGAGCCGAGGTTTAAAGTGACATCACAGAATAGAAAGACTAAGATTCCACAAAAAGTAATGCGTTATCTTCCATTGAAGCCTAGGTTGCAGCGATTGTACATGTCGATGCATACTGCAACCGACATGAGATGGCATAAAGAAGGACGGGTAAATGACGATGTTATGAGGCATCCTGCAGATGGAGAGGCATGGAAAGAATTTGATCGGATGTACCCTGATTTTGCAGCTGACCCGCGCAACGTCAGATTGGGACTTGCCACCGACGGATTTAATCCGTTCGGGGTTTTAAACCAAATCCACAGCACTTGGCCAGTTGTTGTTTTTCCTTATAATCTGCCGCCTTGGAAGTGCATGAAAAAAGAATACATGATGTTGACTCTATTAATTACCGAAGATCCAGGAAAGTCTATTGATGTGTATTTGCGGCCATTGGTTGATGAGCTAAAAGATTTATGGGAAAATGGTGTTCGTACGTACGATAAGTATACTGGGCAGATGTTCACCATGCGAGCGGCAGTGATGTGGACAGTAAACGATTTTCCCGCGTATGCAATGGTTTCTGGGTGGATGACTAAAGGTTATTTGGCATGTCCAATATGCAAGGAGAACGTAACATCGTCCTGGCATGCGAGAAAAGTTTGTTATCTTGGTCATCGTAGATGGCTCCCTTGGGATAATGAGTGGCGTCATAATGATAAAGCCTTCCATGGCACAAAAGAGACTCGGCCAAGACCAAGAGAATGGTCCGGAGATGAGATTTTGGATCAGTTAAATCGATTGGAATTCGGTCATTTCGGCAAAGGGGTCAGTAAGCCCAGACCAACTACACATCTGAACTGGACACATAAAAGTATGTTATTTGAGCTCCCGTACTGGTCAAAGTTAAAATTGAGACACAACCTCGATGTTATGCATATTGAGAAAAATGTGTTTGATACTTTGGTCGGGACAATTCTAGACATTGAAGGAAAAACAAAGGACACCATCGAAGCCCGCCTCGATTTGGAACGAATGGGCATTAGATCATCCTTGTGGATGAAGAGAGTCGGTGGTACATTGAAGAAAAGCCATCCATTTTTTACAGTTAAGCCGAATGGGAAGAAAGAGTTTTTCAACTTTATTTCTTCTGTAAAGTTTCCAGATGGGTATGCTTCCAATATCTCGCATTGCGTGAACGTGAAGGGGTGTAAATTTTCAAACTTGAAGAGTCATGACTGTCATGTGATACTCCAACGCCTTCTTCCGGTTGGTATTCGACACTTATTGCCTCTTGATGTGGTGAAACCAATCGTATTGTTGTCGAGATTTTTTTCGCAGTTGACTGCAAGGTGTTTGCGGAAATCAGATGTTAAACAATTGCAGGACGACATTGTGAACGTCTTATGCAAGTTCGAACAGATATTTCCCCCAGCTTTCTTTACAAGTATGATTCACGTGATGATTCACTTGCCAGATGAGGCATTGCTTGCCGGACCAGTGAACTATCGATGGATGTATCCAATAGAAAGGTACTTAATTAAGCGTCTATATATATAACAGATTCATGATCAATGAACGCTTTGAATAATTTGTTGCATACCTTTTATTTGTGCAGATATCTTAGTGAGTTGAAAAAGTGTGTTCGAAATAGGGCAAAGCCCGAAGGATCACTGGTGGAGGCATGGGTTGCATATGAGTCACTTACCTTTTGTGCAATGTATCTTGAAGATGTTGAGACAACTTTCAATCGTCCTCAACGCAATAATGATGGTGGTGTCAGAAAAGAGAAACTGTCTGTTTTTGCCCAAATTGCACGACCATTTGGTGATCCTGTAAATGGCGAATCGTTTACCAAAAATGACATGGAGGTAGCTCATTGGTTTATACTCAACAATTGTGACGAGGCTTTGCCTTACCTTGAAGAGCATGAACAATTGATGAAGCGGGAACATCCTTCACATTTATATGCTAAGAAGCACCGTGACTTGTTTCCTTCGTGGTTTCACGCACATGTAAGTTGTATGTGGTTTGAAATGAGCATATTTTCCAACTTGTTGATGCATTTCTTTAAATTTGGTTACACTAATATGTTAACTTTTTGTATATGTCATATTAGATGAAGGAATTGAAGGAATTGAATTCACCCTCTTACGATGAAGAATTATATAACTTGGCGAGAGGACCGCTTCACGTTGAATTGTTCTCGGGTTGTCATGTAAACGGGATCAAGTTCTTGGGGGCAACACGTGATGACAAGTCGTCTACTCAAAATAGTGGTGTTCATGTCCCGGGTGCGGGCGACAGTGAAGACATTGATTTTTATGGCAAACTAACTAGTGTAGTACAATTGCTTTACAAAGATAGGTGTCAAGTGATACTGTTTAAGTGCCTTTGGTTTGATACAAACCCACATAACCGAACGAGTGTTAAGCGAGATCATGGTTTAGTATCAGTAAACACTACGACACATTGGTACGATGAAGACCCATACATTTTGGCAACTATGGCGAAACAAATATTCTATCTAGATGACCCTAAAGCCGGCAATGGTTGGAAAGTTGTTCAGAAGATTGAGCGAAGAGGGCTATATGATATTCCGGAACTAGATCATGATGACAACGACGACATTGCTGACCAACAGTTATCATCTTCGATAGAAATTGGTGAAGAAACACTCCGAGATACTAATATTGTCCAAGAACCGTTTGACATACCTGGAGTACCCGAATTCGAAATATCAATTGACCTTGGTGATTTGCCTCAATACAATGCACCAGAAGAGGCAAATGAAGATGAGGACGAATGGGAATCCGGAAATGATAGTAGTGAGGATAGCGAGAGTTATTATTGTAGTTCGGATGAGGATTAATATAAACTTGTAAAGGCAAAAGCAGGAGGCTTGGGCTTGGAAGAGATGGTTTACTACCTTCATTGTTTGCTAGAGTACACCCAAAACTGCGCACTCCCATTCATTCTCAAATCTGGGTTGGTATTGTTGCTGGCATTTTGGCAGGGTTGTTCAATGTGAAGATTCTTTCACACATTCTTTCAGTTGGGTCCTTGGTAAGTCATTGCCCAAATTTGTTTTTGGTTTAGAGAGGTTGTTCAATTCTTCTTTATGATATTAGTGGAGGCTGGGTCAAATATTTTGACATTACAATAACATACATGCATTTCCAACAACATTATGATAACTTCCGTTTCATTAAAGAGGAACTTTCAGTTGCACTGTGCATGGCATGATGTCATGGATAATAGTAAAATTGTAGGAATAGTTGCATGGATTTTGAGCCTTCTTCTAAGATTAGTTGCATGGATGTGATGTTAATGCATGTAGCTATCGGTTTACCAGTTACATTTAGTAAGTGATCAAATTGTAAACTAAGACTGAAAAATGAAATCTTGAGAAAATTTGTATGCCAGAAGACGTGTAATGGGAAGAATGCTTAGTTGAACGAGTTGTGTATTTGTTTCCTAGTCTTCCATTCAATATCTGAAGTTCTGAACAAGAGAGAACAAGTTGTGAATGATTCAAACAATAAAACTGGACTACTTGATCTTCTTGTTCATCTCACAAAACCCAGGTGTATATGTCTGTCACTATACCGAGAATGTGCATTATTGACTGAATCTTTAAATGATTGTGTTTCTCACTCCAGGAATCAAGAATTTCGAAATGTCTGATTTATTAAGTAGATGTGAACTAAACCAGAACTGTTGGAAATTGCAGGTTCTGGTGTCAGTACTGATATCTGGACAACCTATGCTGCAATGATTATGATTGTATCCGTCATCCCATTTCTTATTGTGCAATTACCGCAGCTCCTTGATTCCACCTCTGCTAGACGCCTTGCAGTTCTGATTTCACTCATTGTCTATGTCGCGCTTTTGCTTTCCTATTGCCTTTATCAGGTAATTGTAGTTGTCATGCAGCAAGTCAGCAATTACATAATCTGTGTAGTGTAACAAATCTTTTCTTCGTTTTTCTGTTTGCTAAACTTAGTCTTCTTTGTAATTTACGTCTAACAAATCTGTCCATTTTCTTTCATGTGTAATTTGCATTTCCATGCAAAGATTTATGCTTTAGTAATCCAACATTGTCAACTTTTAAGAAGAAATAGGAAAAACAGTTGAAGATGACATAACAATTGCTTACTTATTTTGGGAAAGAAGGGTGTTTTGGTTGTTTCATTATTAAAGGGTCCGAGTACTTTTAAGGGCATTAATATTCTGTATGTTCTTTCATACCAAAAGTTTGGATACCCTTTGCGATTCTGTCATGCTAGTTCTGTAGCTAACCATAATCTGTTTAAATTTTCTTTTTCCTGGTATTACGATTTGGATCTTCACACTTATTTTCACTGCTATCGACTTATATTTAATTGTGGGTGCAGGTGTTTCAGCCTTGGATCCAGAGGAGGAAAATTGCTTATGCAAAGCACAAGCATGTTATATCAGGAGTCTTACAACATCTGAAGAAGCATGCATTGGGAAAGCTTCTTAATGATGAGGGTGAACCTGATGAAGAAACTATCAAATCGTTAGTATTTTATTTTAGTATTATTGATGGAGTAGTTAGTCATGTCTGTTCTTTGCGACTCTTGTACTTTATTCTTAGAGATTATTCTAACGAGTTTTCTGATTGTACGTGTGTCAGGTTGTTTGATACAATTGATGCGGATAAGAATGAGTTTCTTTCAGCTTCCGAATTAAAAGCACTAATTGTAGGAATCCGGTTTGATGAAATACAGTTTGATAACAATGATGCTGTAGCTAAACTGATGAGTGATTTTGACACTTCTCATGATTCCCAAATCAGTTTTACTGAGTTCTATGCTGGTATCTCAAAATGGCTCAATGAGGCAAAGCGTCACGGAGATACCAGTACTGACTCTGGTAATCATACAATGAAGTTTTTAACAGACTTTCACAAGGTAATGTTTGTTTATTTAGATAGATTTAAGGTTTGCTTATTTGATACGACTTTTCTATGCTAATCTTTTAATGCTTTGTCGAGTACAGCAAACAAAAGAAGAGCACGCTCTTTTGGGGGCGAATGGCCAAAGTGATGAGGTTGTCGAGGGTGTTGAGAGTGTTAAGTGGACCTCCATCAAAGCAGGATTAATGTTGTTGGTAGGAACTGTGATTGCAGCTGCATTTGCAGATCCCTTGGTAGATGCTGTTGATGATTTCTCCGATGCCACAAGCATTCCAACTTTCTTCATCTCATTCATTGCACTACCTCTGGCTACTAATTCTAGTGAGGCTGTATCTGCTATTATCTTTGCCAGCGGCAAAAAGATGAGGACTGCCTCGTTAACATTTTCTGAGGTTTGTATTTCATATTTCCCGTTCATGTTTTGTCAATCTGCAAGCCTGATAATACTTTACACCTTCAACAGTTGTATAATTTATCGGCGGGAGCTTTTAAAATATGTCATAAACTTTTAAGTTTTAGGCTTTCCCATTGACATATTGCACTCGCATGCCAAAATCTTTTCTACAGTGTCCATCTGAAATCCTATTGATATACTAGTAACCAGTATCTCAACAATAATTAGCGTAATTGCGACTTATAGTTAGCCAATAATCTTCTTCTGTTGGTTTAACAATGTCGATTGTTGAAATATGACCTCTTCATCCGTTTCTTGTTGCAGTTGTACGGTGCAGTAACCATGAATAACCTGCTCTGCCTAGCAGTATTTTTGGCTCTGGTTTACATTAGAGGATTAACGTGGGACTTCTCAGCCGAAGTCCTGGTGATTCTCATCGTTTGCATTGTAATGGGTCTTCTAGGTAGTTTCCGCACTGTCTTCCCTCTTTGGACGTCTTCAATTGCTTTCCTACTCTACCCATTCTCCCTGGCACTGGTTTACGTCCTTGACTATTTTGGATTTGGTACTTGTTGCAGTGTTAGTTGTATGTACCTGTTCCACGGTAGGTTATAGTAAGATGTATCATTAATTCATAGCCCATTAAATCTTTCCAAATAACTTTGTTGGAAAGAGTATGGTGAGAATATTCACTGAGAGATCGACATACATAAACACACATTATTGATTGCTAGCGTAGTAGTGCAAATCTGTTTGAGCAATTCATTCGGTGTTATTTTCTTTTGGTCAATGAATTTGTTTGATGTCTTGTTTCTTGAACAATCGATTCTGTCTGTTATTATTTTTATTACTTTTAAAGGAGCAAATTAAAGACTGGGAATCTCGTGCTCGGTTGTTGGAAGACGAAATCAGACAGATGAAGTCTGGAAAAGCAGAAATGGAGGAGAGACTGAATGGCGACATCGCACAGTTGAGGGCAGTCATTCTTGAGAGAAGCAACCAAATGGAGAATTCAAACAAGGCCCTTGATGCAATGAAAACAAAAAGATATGAGCTCAGCACCAAAGCCACAACATTACAGGCAGAGGTGAGTTCAAGAGACTTAATCCAGCAATTTCAAGGAATGGGCAAAAAATCTTGTTTTTTGGGGGTGGATAGTATAAACTCCATAAAATTCCCCTCCTCCTCAATAACACTCTTTCCTTTTTACCTTTGTGGACGAGCTCCCAGATGCACACGAGTACAGCCACGATTGCCAATGAGCATGCCAATGAGCGTATATTGAGGCTTACGTGGAGAGGAACATAGATTAACAGCATGCCAATGAGCGTATATCTATAAGGCAGCTATGCTTCTCGCTCGAACATTACAGGAATCAAGAGAGTTCCAGTTTTGGCAACTTAAGCTTAAACATGTTGTCATCGTTTGTGTCATACATAAAATTTTGAGTGCCTTTTTTTTGTATCGGGGTCTAAAATGGCCAGTTGAGCGATGAGCTATAGGCCATGCCCTCTCATGGTTAAATGAATGTGAAGTTTGTGTAATGTAGTATACATATAGATGCAGAGGGGTCCTGTCTTAAGGACCCATTTGAGTCACAAATTTACCTTGGAAAATGGTGGAGAGGGCAGAAATTTGCATGATAATTTTGGTTTGGTGTTTGGTTTTGGGGTTGAAATTGGCTGAAAGTGTGTTTGCAAACTTAAGACACATGACTACATATTCATGTGCTCTTTAAAATTTAGGGAAAAAAAGGCATACGGACTTTGTTTTTAAGATTGTAAGTCTTTCTCAAAAGTTTACACCTCCATTTACAAAAAAATATATTTTTTTTAAATTTGCACATACCACACATTGCCACATAAATATTACTTCAAAACATTAAAACATTTCTCGTTCAAGTACTATATCTACACTCGAAAATAAAAGCCTAATAAAAAAAATAATACATACACTACTAATATATTACAAATATTAAATGTGCAAGGATAAAGAGTTTTTGTTTCTAAGATTGTAAGTCATTCTCAAAAGTTTACACCTCCATTTACAAAATCTTCAATTTACATCGATCATCATGAAATTGTATTCAATTTACACCTACATCTATATAATTATTATAGTTTTTACTTTTTAGGGATATAAAATTATTAAATAAATGTATATAATTATTAATATTATAGTTGATTCATACTTTTATTAAGTATATAAATTATAACATAAGATTTTGTGATATCCACATCCACTAGTGTAAATATTTGAAATTGAAGATCGAATTCATTCATCGTATTCATATAGGGTCAAGGAGTGTAGCTGTAAAAAATCATCAAAATCGGAGTTAAAATAACCGTTAAATCGTGATTTTTCGTTTATAACCGTTGAAAAGCTTTGTCCCGTTACTTGATCTCTGAATGTTTTTTTTTTGTGATTTTTTGCTGATGTGATCTCCAAGCATATACAAACAATTTTGACGGTTTGGATCGTTGAAATTAGTTTTGGAGAATTCGTAAAACGATAGATTGACTAACACTTAGAGTTTATTTATACTTTCATTAAGTATAACATAAGATTTTGTGGTATCCACTTGTGTAAATATTTTAAATTGAAGATCGAATTCGTTCATCGTATTCATATAGGGTCAAGGAGTGTAGTTATAAAAAATCATCAACATCGGAGTTAAAATAACCGTTAAATCGTGATTTTTCATTTATAACCGTTGAAAAGCTTTGTCCCGTTACTTGATCTCTGAATGTTTTTTTTTTGTGATTTTTTGCTGATGTGATCTCCAAGCATATACAAACAATTTTGACGGTTTGGATCGTTGAAATTAGTTTTGGAGAATTCGTAAAACGATAGATTGACTAACACTTAGAGTTTATTTATACTTTCATTAAGTATAACATAAGATTTTGTGGTATCCACTTGTGTAAATATTTTAAATTGAAGATCGAATTCGTTCATCGTATTCATATAGGGTCAAGGAGTGTAGTTATAAAAAATCATCAAAATCGGAGTTAAAATAACCGTTAAATCGTGATTTTTCGTTTATAACCGTTGAAAAGCTTTGTCCCGTTACTTGATCTCTGAATGTTTTTTTTTTGTGATTTTTTGCTGATGTGATCTCCAAGCATATACAAACAATTTTGACGGTTTGGATCGTTGAAATTAGTTTTGGAGAATTCGTAAAACGATAGATTGACTAACACTTAGAGTTTATTTATACTTTCATTAAGTATAACATAAGATTTTGTGGTATCCACTTGTGTAAATATTTTAAATTGAAGATCGAATTCGTTCATCGTATTCATATAGGGTCAAGGAGTGTAGTTATAAAAAATCATCAAAATCGGAGTTAAAATAACCGTTAAATCGTGATTTTTCGTTTATAACCGTTGAAAAGCTTTGTCCCGTTACTTGATCTCTGAATGTTTTTTTTTTGTGATTTTTTGCTGATGTGATCTCCAAGCATATACAAACAATTTTGACGGTTTGGATCGTTGAAATTAGTTTTGGAGAATTCGTAAAACGATAGATTGACTAACACTTAGAGTTTATTTATACTTTCATTAAGTATAACATAAGATTTTGTGGTATCCACTTGTGTAAATATTTTAAATTGAAGATCGAATTCATTCATCGTATTCATATAGGGTCAAGGAGTGTAGCTGTACAAAATCATCAAAATCGGAGTTAAAATAACCGTTAAATCGTGATTTTTCGTTTATAACCGTTGAAAAGCTTTGTCCCGTTACTTGATCTCTGAATGTTTTTTTTTGTGATTTTTTGCTGATGTGATCTCGAAGCATATACAAACAAGTTTGACGGTTGGATCTTTGAAACGAGTTTCATACGATTCTTTTCTTATGAAGTTGAACGGTATATATATTTACTAAGTACATTTTAATTTATTTATTTATTTCGTACTTATAATACTTAACAAATTGACTGTATATATGAAGAAAAAAAAATATTGTGGGTTTTTGTTAGAAAAATATATTATTGTGGGGTTTATGTTAAAAAAAAAATTGAATTTGAAAGGAGGAAAGTCACATTTTTGGTAATTTTTATAATAATTTTTTTTTTCCAATTAAATACTTTGCGTGACGCCTTAGTATGATGGTCGTGCAAACATCTTTGCGCGACGTCGAATTAAACACCTACGTCGCGCAAGGTGTGCTAATTTTGGCGGTTCAATGGTGAAAATTAGGCGCTTTTTTTTTATTTTTCCAAAATTTTCCACTTTGCCCTCTTTATCTCCCTCAATTCGAACCCAAATGATAACCCTTAATTCTTTATCTCCCTCTCCTTCTTCTATTCGAACATAACCCAGAAATCTTGAACCATCCCTCTTTATCTCCCTCTTTCCTCTTCACAAATCTTGAACCCAGAATCCCATCCCCTTTTTTGTCCTGTAGACCCCAGATCTCCTTCTCTCCTCTTCATAAATCTTGAACCCCAAATCTTTCCTCTTCACCATTCTGTCCCAAATCTTCATAAATCTTGAACCCCAAACGATGTCTAAGATGGGGAATTTCATATCACTCTTCACGCATCCTACCATTTTTTGTTTTCTTTGCAATGATTCTCTATGTTTTGCATGTGCTGTTTTCAAGATTCCTGCGAGTCTATGAGTTTTCCTGCCAAGGTCCACCGAGCTATCCCGTCATCGGGTGCTTCATTTCCTTCTACAACAACCACAACCGCATCTTGAATTGGTACGCTGACCTCCTTGCAGAATCAACCACCAACGCCATCGTCGTGGCCCGCTCCGGCACACCGTGGAGTACATGCTCAAGACCAGCTTCAACAACTTTCAAAAAGGCAAATCCTTCACTGAAATTCTTGAGGATTTTTTGGGTATATTCATTAATTGTGCTCGGTGAGCTTTGGCGCGCCCAGTAGGCTTCACATAAATCTCGAAGCCGACGCGAATCAACTCCCAAAATCAAGGTAAGGGTTTCTGATTTTCGATGGGTTTTTGTTATTTAGGGTTTAGGCTCAAATTGCAAGTTGATTTGAGTATTTTGTTGATGTATGTGTGTTTTGTGTATGAATATGAAATTGGCTTTTATTAATTTGATTTTAATTAAGGATGCATATGCGGCTGATGAACTTAAAATGCCTTCAGTGACAAATACATGGATATAGCTTCATTAGGTACATGTTTATAGTTTTATCATATTCTGTTTCACTTTCATAGAACCAAAGATCAAGATGATGTTGACAGATAGTAGGATCTTTTGACTCACTGTCCCTTTGGTTTTGGAATTGCTTGCCATCCGTTTTCTTTTTCTTTTTCAGACGATACCTTGACTGCATAAGTGGCAACAACTTCACTGGTGTTTTTCCTTGATGGTTTTTACCTTATTAAGTGTTCTGTGTCTGTGGTATAGAACTCTCACTGTTTTCGATCAGGGTTTTGCTTACATTCTTGCTTTTTATCTTCATAATTTCAGAAAAAAAGACTAATTATTTGGAAAATTAGAGGCAGTCACCTCATACAGAATTTTGATTCCTTTAATGACTTATTTGGAAAATTTTCAAAACTAAAATGTATAAACTTTTGGTTCAGGGCTGAAAAGTTTCTAACAATGTTATAAAATCCAACTAAGACCAACCATGTGATACCTTCC